CCTGCTGAAGCTTCCCCTGCACGACCACAGTGCCTGGAGCAAACTCCGTCTGGATCCACACTTGAGCAACACCATCCTAAACCAGCACTGCTCCGCACAGGAGAGGGCCTGGGGCTCTGAAAATGGGTACAAACACCCATTCTTGGGGTAAAAGGTGTATGCATGGGCATCCCAACACAGCAGCAACTCATGCTCAGCTGCAGACACAGCCAGCACTGTTCAGAAATGACCAAGGCTTAACACAGGAGCAAGACCAGACAACCATAATGACTCATTTTTACAAAATTAAACACACTGTCCACGCAGATATTCTGAAAGAAATGCACTGCCTCAAGGATACGCTTTATTTAGCCTAAAACACTAAGGCAGAGAGAGAGAGCAAGCTACTACTGCTTTTTTTGTTTATTTGCTTGCTTTAAAACAAGACAGAGTCAGATGCCCCTGTGGTGACCACACGTTGTGAAGATAATTGGATGCAGGAGACCAAATAATGCTGTGAGACCAAAGGCAGAGCTGTTACACTGCAGTAAAGATTAAATAACTCTTCTGCCCCACTGGATGCAGAGGCACCGCACTACCAGTGTAACTGCCAAATAAAACTGAGTCTGGAGTGCTTATCTTTGGTATCCAAATAAAGGAGTTACTCGAGGCATTTAGATATTTCTTCCAAACTGATTTTTAGAGGGAAAAACAATGACAGAGTTAACACAGCTCCTCTCTGTTCCCTATCTATCAAAGCCAGCACACAACTCCGCGTGTTTTGTATCCCCGAGGAAGTGACCGCACGGTTTGGAAGCAAGGAACACGTCTGTTTGAAACACAGGATGAAAACATGTGCAGAGATTGCTGAAGGAAAAAAGATTTGCGTTGTGCAAATGGAGATGATTTCTTTAATGTCTCTGGTTCTTCATCCACATGAATGAAAAACAAACAGGGAAGTTTTACAGCAAATACAGTATTACTCTTAAATAGACTACTAATTAACTGCACTTTTCATTACTGTGTTATCAGCTGTGTAATAATGAGCATTAAAAATAACCCTACGATACAGTCTGTCAGTGTGTAACTTAAGAGATATCAGTGTTTGATTTTAGCCCAATATACTCACTGTAGAATGAAAAAAGCTATCCCACTTATTTTCTACTGAGATCACTTCATATTGTTATAAATACCCTTTAGACCATGCAAAATAACAGCATATTTTATCAGTCACTTCATATTATTCTGAACCTTCCCGGTGTCTCCTGCTTCCATGTTTCTCACCAAGCATTCCCCATCTCCAGAAGAAGGCAGTATTTCTCCACCACCACAACCAAACCACGCACCTACCCACTGGCCTTGCAGTGAGGGCCCTGCTATGGTGTGGGCATGCCAAGCAGCTAAAAAAGGATAAAAAAGCAGCTCTTGTAGATGTGCAGGGAGAACCAGAGTATCTCACTAAGTTAGTTCACTTACTTTTATTAAAGCATATGGTATTGATTGTTGTAAAACTACAAAACCTGAAGCATCGTTAGATGGGATGATATAAATCACTTTAGAACAGCACAAAATTACACCCCTTTCCACTGTGCTAAAAAAACCAAACAACTAATTTTAAGGCCAAATGACTAGGATTATGTTCGTTTGGAAATTAGATTGCTGGGACAGCCAACGGGCCTTGCTGTGAATCCTTGCACTGAATGAGACTGAATTCTGAAAATACCAAGCCTGCAATGCCTGAACCCAAGGGAGTGCACACAGACACTACCCAGGCACTTCACGATACCCCGACTCACACTGTGCTCGCTAGGGACAGCCGGAGCGGAAGAGAAAAGCTCCAGCCAGGGAAGCACTGGTTGCCTTCTTACAAGGAATACGCCAGCCCTGCCCATGCATTAACCAGTGCTGGTCTTGCTCATACATTAATCACCATCTTCTAAAGTCAGAGCTAGAAATTTATATCAAAGGGGTCTGAACCAAATTTCTCCCTAGGCTGGCTCAAATGACCTCAGGACTGCATCAGAGAGGGATCTGGCGCAGGGTGCAGGGGCACGGCTGATGCCAATCATTAATTTCAGTGAAAAGAGGGATTACTACAGAGCAAGAGACTCAGCCACAGTGTTCGACTCCATGGGACACTGCTCTGCGCGCACTTACTGAGGAACAGGAGAAACGGATATGATGTAACGTGTGATCACATTTTACTGTGACTGGATGAGCGATTCCTGACAGATTCCCCTTGACTTTTTGTGGGAAATAGGATTATCTGCACTTCTCCTTTCTGCCAAGCCTGCGCTGGGGATGGAGCAGGAGAGACTGACAGGCACCATGCACCAGCCAGGGACAGCTCTCTGCTCCACCTGAAAACAGCACACCCAACCCCAGCAGGTAACTCCCGCAGCGGGTGCCCTCAAATGAATGGAAAACATCAGCGGGAATCTTCTCAAACCCAGGAGTTTCCTACAGCACCCAAAACTGCAAAGGAAGCGGCTATTTATGAAAATCCCACGCAAATTGCTCGCTTTTGTAATTTTTAAGAAATAAGTTGCAAAAAAGGAATTAACAAAAGATTAGCAAAATTAATGAAATTAAAAATATTACTTCAGGCAAGGGAGAACTAAGCAGTGCAAAGACAGGTCAGCATTTCACCGTGGTTCATTTCTCCAGCATTTACCGACATCTGTGGGATTTCACAGCGCGTAAGCACTCCTGCTAACCCACTCCAGCTCCAACCCTTTGTACCCATCGATGGGAGCCCAAAAGCAGACAGACGTACCACGGGCTGCAGCGGGGCCCCCGGCATCATGGCGTTGGCGAGCTGCATCTGCTGGGCCAGCATGGCCATGTTCTTCTGCTGGATCAGGTTATTGCGGCCATTGATCTCCAGCTGCGTTTTTAAGTGTGGCGGTGGGTGAAGGTATTTGCAGTTTTCCCTCGAACACCGACCCTGAAGGAAAGAATGGACACAGCTGGCTTAGGGGCTTAGGTGTATCTTCATTTTTATGCCATCAGCTAAACCAAACACATCACACGCAGGAGGAAAGCCCCCCAGTTTATCCCATACTGACCAGAGCAATGTCACCATTCTGGCGCCAGCTGCTTGCTTTGCTGTTCTGAACCATGCATTTCTGCAGCACAACTCTAAAAAACACTGCTTCCTTTAAATGTTGCCCAAGGCGAGCAAATATTGAGTTGTTTTAAAGCAGAGCTCATCCATCTTCCATGGGCACAGCATTCTGCTCAGTGCAAGCTGTGCCCATGGGGACTGAGCAGGGAAGCACCAGCTCTGCAATGTCACTGCACCTGGAGCACCGCATCTCTGACAAAAACCTCTTACATGCGATGTGTTTTTGCTGCAATTGTGTAAAACATTGTAACACTGGAGCCCACACTTGCACTAAAGGCATGGTAACAATAAAAAAAAAGAAGAGAATCCTTTTCTGGAAAAAGCCCAGATTCCTTAAATTACATTTTCCTCTACTCATTCATCTTTGAAATAAATCCCAACAGGAACATTGACAAAGCAAAAGACAGTCTTAATTTCAGTAAGAAATCATTTTTATCAGGAAACAAATTAATCCAGTGTAGTTTGACCTATACTGCAATTTTGCTCAGGAAGTTAAAATGCGTTCTTGTCATAGGATCTGCCTGAAATCTAATCTGTGCGATAATTTTTGTCTTCCCCTAAGGGATGAAAGGTTTGGTGCTGTCTCCCTCCCAATCCATCTCTGGTGCTGGCAGCACAGTCCTTACAACTCATTTTCGTGGTGATTCAAGTGGTCTGGGCTGTCCCTGGCAGAGTCACTTGCCCAAAAATCCCCCCAGTAACACAGCACCAACGCTGGGGAGCAGCAGAGCAGGAGCCAGATAACACACAAAAGCACAACATCCACAATGCAGATAAGACACAGGAAGAAACGTGTGCAGCCTGGAAAAATATTTTTACAGGGGAACGGAGTTTCCTACTGCAAATAAGAAATTAGGAAACTTCAGGAACAAACACTAACGATTCAGTAGGCGAAAAGACAAGCTGATGGTGGCAACAGGAGTCAGTGTTTATGACACATGAATTATAAGCTTTTGTGTGCGTATACACATACACGGGTGGGACTCTGCTCACACACGGTGTGTGGAGGGAGGGGGGAGGAGGAGGAAGGAGAAGGGAGGAGGAGGAGGAAGGAGGGAGGAGGAGGAGGAAGGAGGCCGTGACTGCTCCCAGTTTTCCTCTGCTATCACATCCACACGCCCAGGCTGAGCAGCACAGCCAGCTCTGCTCCGGACATCAGGGCAGCGTGATGGCGCTGGTATTTTAAGCTGTCCAGCCTTGGCAAAGCGGGTGGTGGGGACAAGGAGGAGCGGGTGGCACTCGCCCACGCAGGGACATCTGTGGGAGGCAGGAGGGATGGGGACAGGGGCCCAGCATCACCCCAGAGGCTCTGTCCATTCATCCACCCTCTGAAAACACCCAGAGTGCCTCAGCCGCTGCCAGGTCCCACACTTGGAGGGTGCTGGCAGACTCAGCGCTGGCCTCACCAGTGCCCAGCACACATGGCATTGGCACCTGGCGCTGCTCGGGTCAACCCGGGTCTGCATCCCAACTGACCCGGGTCTGCATTATCAAAGCACGACTTGGCGATGCAATGAACAAGGTCTCATTAGCAAACTGCTCTCACAAGGTCGTTAGTCCTCTGGGTGCAACCAGTCAGGACCCTGCGGCACCAGGGACCTGCAGGACCCCGTGGCACAGCCCCTGCGCAGGGGCACAGCTGAAACCGAGACACGTGAGCTCATAGACCCCGCAAGCAGGGGGCTCTGTCGGTCCCCCTGACCCACTGGCAACCACGGGAGCCAGGGCTGGCAAACCACTTGGCTACCACAGATCAAGGAGTTTTGATCCAAACCAAACACGGAACAGCTCCTTCCTTTAGGATTACAAATTCCTCCTGACAGCAGAGCGCTCGGTGCACTAAAACCCAAGCAGGAAGATGGCCATTACGTAAAACCCAAATATTGCCTGTAAATGGTAAAACTATTTATCCTGATGCCCATGTGTTTTACAGGAAAAAATTAACTACATAGGCAAACTACTAGGGTTTGCTTTTTAAAAAATAAACTGTTTGCACTCGCTCTGTTGTAGTAGCTGGCCTGCCAAGCGTACACTCAGATAAACTTTATAAATATTAACAAATATAGTTACTGGGTCCATTTTACTGACTTGAAGGATGCAAACCACTGTCTTGGTGAGCCAAGGGCAACGCTTACAGCTCTGAAGCCAGGCAGCGACCTGGGGTAGGACGTGGCTGTTGGAAAGAGCCCCCAGACTCACACATCTTGCAGTGCCAAGAGAAAATAAATGGTGAGCAGCCCTGCGCTGCTGAGCACAGATTTCTGTCAACACAGATGTTCATGACGTTCTCATGGAGAACACATTTTTAATGAATAGCAACGATGAAATATAAGGATAAAAATCATGCGGGTAACTTTCCAGAGCCTCCTGTTCAGCCTGTACATGTCTCTCCTTAAGGCTTTCTGCTGGACTGTGATAGCTGCCCAAGTGCCAGCAAAGAAAAGCAGAAACTAATTTTAACAACAACAAAATGCCCTGGGTTTCATTAGGTAGCTGAAATAGGCATTTATCCAGCCATTAAGCACTGCAGTGGGGAGCGTGACAACGTCACAAGAGCAGGGGTACCCTGCAGCCGGTGGTGACACCAGCGTGGTGACACCACGCACACCCTGCCACCACCACCAACACTGCTCCTTGCTTGCATTTCAACCAACCTCCTCTGCAAAGTCCCAGTCAGCCAATTACAGCATCGGCAAGACTCAACACGATGTTGCTTTTACTGGTTTTCACCTCCCTCCATCAAACAGCAGGATTTAGCGGAACAGCCCCACAGAGGAGGAGTTCCCCTGGCAGTCCAGGGCACCCCGGGTACCAGCCAAGTACCACCTCATCCCCATCCCCATCCGCCTCTGGACAGTGCCTCAGCAAACCTGGTGCAAGTAAGCACAGCTATTTCATTTCTGACTATGAACTTATTTATTAAACTTATTAAAGGTGCTGCAGTAGAAAGTGAGCAAATAATTTCTGCTTTTAAAGCACTGTAAACACTTAGCAGAGACACTGAGTAAATGTGGTTAAATCCTGTTCCCAGGAATAGCGATCAAAGCTCAGCCACACTCTGGACAACTTTAATTTGGGTTCACACGGGGTGAGGTGGCTGCTGAGGCTCTACCAAACCACCCCAAATCTGTGTTCTGTAACAGCCATTGGCAAATGCATCAACAGCTCATGGAAATGTAAGGATGTTTGTAATCCTTCAATCCAATGTGGGCTTGATAGCCATATTATTACAAACGTTTGTCTATCCACATGTGTGTATATATACATTCTGTGTATCAATTCATCAGTATTTATATCTGCACCACTCCCAGGACACACAAACCCTGCAGACTGAGGCAGAGCAACACTGGATTTCTCCCCAAATAGCCCTCCACCTGTCCAAACACCCCCAAGAGCCAGTTGTCTGCCAGGGTAAGGACAGCGTGACAAAACACGCAAGGCCTTCAGAAACCGCTTGCTCTGAACTCCTGAAGCCAGAAAATCCTTTTAGAGCAATCTCCAGTAATCCGTATGATCCTCACTCAAGCATGTAACAAATAACGTTTTAGGAATGAAATGAATGACTTTACGTCCAGTTTAAGTAAAGCACCCGCAAGATTTGATCCATTTGTCACTGCAGCCCCACGCAGTGATACACCGCGGCCACAGGAACCAAGCCCACACTTTTATCTCCATTTCTTCCACAGCGCACACCCCCTGCAAACGGCTTGGTCTGAAACCAGGCCCTGAGCCGCCCAGCCCTGCCACAGCATCCCATGAACGACTGAACTGAGCAGTGAGGGTAAGACTCACCAGCTTCCACTGCCACTGTTCAATGGAAGTTCTGCAGCGCTGTTAATATTTCATAATATGTTCAGGCTTCCGATCTGTTTTGGTGCGGAACGGCAGCAAACCGGCGAGCTGGCAAACGCTGCATCCAAACCGGGGAACAAACCAAAAGGGCCCTTGTGCAGGGGAGCTGCTGGTGCAGGACAGTGTAATTTACGGCAAATTTTAAAAGGGAATACCACCAGGGAGTAACACTGTGTACGTTATCATGTACTTTTTACATAGTCGATGTACTTTTAAATTGTTTAGAAACCCATGTTGGCTGTCGCAGGGTGCTCCCCCCGTCCCAGCCCTGCTCGCACACATTTTGGGTCTCATTGCCCCAAGAACAGTTTTCTTACTAGATATCAAACCTAACTTTAAGGTAGATATATGCAGAAGTAAAATAGAAAAAAAAGACAACCCAGATGTGACTATTTTCATCTGTTTTTGAGGGCACTGGCATTTTCAGTCTCTTCTACCTGGAGAAAAGGGGAGGTGGTTGGCATGGTGATCTAAATGGGATAATGAGTGTCCTCACCCAAGTGTAAATACGCAGGAGAATCCTCCATTACAGGTGCTATATTTAAACTGAATTGCTGTGGTTCAAAAATAAAATCTTGCTTTTGTGATTTTGAGAGAGAAACCGCCATCCCCTGCTGCTGGCACCTGCAGCAGAGCGAGCCCAGGCCAAGCGCAGAGCTTGCGGCTGTGCCAGACTGGAGCTTGTTTATAGAGCCCTTCCCCAAATTGCACGGCACTGAATGCTCAGTGTCCTCAGAGCAATCCTGACGTGGATGTGCAGAATGGGTACAGCAAACAGGCAGCATGGGAGGACAAGGCTCCATAGTTGCACCCATCCTCTGACACAGCCTGGGACCCTCGGGGACACCCGCTACAGGAGGGACCCCCAGCTCTGGCCCCTGAAGGCTGCACTTAGCTCCCACTGACACCTGTGACCACAGCACATCCCCATCCTGGCATCCCCCTCTGGTGCAGCATCCCTGCCTGCA